CTATGGAATCTAATCTATATAGACAGGATTTCAGAGTTTTCTTATTTTAATATTAATTGTATATGTGGGACACTTTTTTCATCCAAGCCTCGCACATGTTCGCATTATCGAGTGATAGAACAACTATTTTCTCTTAGTATATATATATATATATATATATATATATATATATATATATATATACAAATATACTTTTCAGGTGTGCTATATTTATGGAATAAAGTGCTCAATATCAGGGATAGAGCGTATGTAAATATAAAAGTGAACATTAACGTCAACACTCAGAGGCGACAGAGTGTTTCATACTAGACGCATGTGCAGGTTTTTTCTCGACTATATATATATATATATATATATATATATATATATATATTTGTGTGTATTTAGGCAGCATATTTTCATTTATACACGTTATTAAATAATATAGACAAGTGTTGTCTATTTATTTTATGTAAAATTTTTTCGTATCTTCTGATAAGTTTGGTAACATTATCATTAACCGAAAAAAGAAATTCACAATATTTATCCATTATTTTTTAATAAAATCTAAGCTTTCGGCTTACTCAAGCCATTATCAAAGATGTAATTACAAACATATCAAACAATATACGGTAATCACGAAAAGGATTATCAGATCACTTTAGAAGTGATTAGTAATGGTGGTGGGATGATAATAACAATAAATGTAATTATTGTGATGGTAGCTTCAACTTGAGAGTGATTGTTGGTGTCTTTTTTTTTATCCGTTTGGTATAAATCCTGCTAATAGGTATTTATTTTCATGCCTACATTTGGAAATTATCCCTGATCTTTTGTTTTGTAAATTCTTTTGTGGGGTATGGGATATTATTGTTACTTTTTCGTGTAGGCAAAGTAGGTATTTTTTTGTAATGTTGCTGTAGGCAGGTGCTCTTTTCAATATGTTCCAGCTTATTCTTGGGGTGATGTTTCTGTTTGCCATATGTCTGTGGATAGTGTAGTGCTGTTCAAGTATTTTCTGTTAGTGAATGAAAGGTTGTGGTTGTTTTTTCTCTTCTTGAATAGACCCTCGGTGGCTGTTGTTTGCACTTACCTTGGCTATATTGTATTCGTATGTTGGCAATATCCCTGGAGTGGACATGTTGTTCTATTTCTGCAGTTGCATTTTGGATCTTTGGTTTCATTTTTGTAGGTTGTCTATTTTTTTTTTTTTGGCTTTAATATTTTAGTCACTAAAACCCGAACGTACATGAAGAGCTACCAACCAACTGAAATGTATTATTTTATCAGATCAGTCATATTCTAGTTTGCATCTATATTTGTGGACTTTACTCTTCAATACAATGAAATCATTGGTGCGAGGGAATTTCAACTTTGTTTGATTTTTCTCTGAGTTTTGTTTCCTGTCTGCGTTCCTTTTTCAGGCCAAAGTATAATTTTCAGAAAATAAGAACTTTTCTTTCATAAAGAACACGTTACTGAATCTACTTATTGACTTAAAACTTTAGTGACTTAAAATTAATAAAAATATTTCAAAAGGCGGTAGGTTTAATGTTTTTTTAAATATTAAAAGTTAACAATTACAAGTCTCGAGAGTCACTCAATGTAGAGGTTTGCTATTAAAATAGTTATAATGAATGTAGTGTGTGATAGGAATGAAAGAGGAAGTGAAGATTATGATGATATAGAGGACAGATAAGCATTAACCCTTGACTTGAAAACGTTAAGATATTAGTGTTTAGAGAAGCAACCACGCGGGAGTTTGTTCCACAATGTAGCAATTCTTGGGAAAAGGTTGTCTGAAAGGAATATTTGTAACACGAAGGAAATAAGGGTGATTCAACTTTGTTGATGTAGCATGTTGTATTATAGCAGTAAATATCTGAACTGAGGAAACTAAACAGTGAAGCTCATCTGAACATTTGTCATGGAAATAGTGATAGTAGTGATAGACGTTGGGTCTTTGAGAAAGAGGCTGCAGAGTGGAGAATAAATCTTTCCTCTCAAGACTGCATAAACGATTTTGAACTCCATCAGGTCCAGAAAGTGATTATTGATTAGCAGATTAGATTATTAGATATGGCAGCAATATTTCATTTTTGTTCTAATCTGACTCTTGTAAAGAAGCTCTTTACATATGGTCTATGGACAAAGCACATGCTTTCTTCCCCGCGAGACCACAATTACGCTAGCGTCGGTATCTTTAGTGCAATGAGGAAGGAGGTACGACTGCAGTGGTAGAATCCTCGCAACCAGATTTCCACAAAGTTTATAGAGAACAGATGCTATACATTGATCTCATCAAGTAGGCTCTAAAGTAGAGGAAATCTACCGCCAATCCCACCCAAAAATTTTCCACGTTTATCTTCAGTATATTTGATTATATTTTTCCCAGATCAATGTGATTTAAATTTTTATTATGTAAACTTTTCCGCAGACTACCCGTTGTTCCATTGTAGAGAATTTTCAGTAGGTGTTCTTGGCTTAAGTTAAGAATGGTCAACTATTTGCCATTTTAAAATCTACAATCTCAAGAAAGACCAAAGTTGAAGAGTGACTAAAAAACAAAACAAAATACAAAATAAAACAAATTTAAACAAATTGCAATTTTATTCGTACCTTCTTAAGAGTATCAGCATCATTTATCTTAACGAAGTGAATCATTTTGATTTCCTTCAATTTTATGATTTATTCTTGTCATTTGAACAATGCTTCAGAGAAATTTAAGTTTACTTAAACGATAATTTTGTGTCAATATTTTGAAGGAACTTAAAATTTAGAAGAAATATTTACTGATTTTTATTTATTACAATACTCTGTGTTATTATATCAGAGACAAGTATCTATCTATCTATCTATCTATCTATCTATCTATCTATCTATCTATCTATCTATCTATCTATCTAGAATACTGGACGCAACAATTACAAAACATAAGTTCAGTAATCAATCAGTAATTTTTCTGTTGACATTAAAGAAATATTTAAGGTGGCAAATAATTATAAACAAAGTTTAAAAATAAAGAAAAAGGAAATTAAATTGAAGATGAGTTTTGTGAGTTATTTTTGGACATTTTATTTATCCAGTCAGTATATTTTCATTTTATTTATCTAGTCAGTATTTTTTACTTTTTGTATATATAATTGGCATTATTGAACTTTTCTATCGTGCCGAGTATTTCGTTATTGTATATTATTATTTTTTTTCTCCAACTTGGTGTTTTGTAAATTAGAATTTAAATATATCATTGTTCTTTTTTAAGATATTAGTATAGCGGAACACAGAAGAGGGAGTTTTCAATGTAAATTTGTGAATGTGTGCGCACGCGTCAGGTCACTTTAATGGCATCAATTCACACAATCGTTAAAATTTAAACTATCATAGAAAAATAATTAAACTAATAGTATTGATATTTAGTCAATAGTTTTATTTTTTAAATGTGTCTATATTCCCATCCGGATTGGACTGGCACAAATTTAAGTTATTTTCAAAGACAGGAAATGTTTTTAGAAACGTTTTACCATCATTTAATCTTACCATCATTTAATCTAAAATAATCAAAGAAAAAGTCCTCTCTGTAACCTACAAGACTAACATAAAAGAATACTTAGAAAGTTGAATTTCAACATTAGTGTATCAGCAATATTCTTCTTATTATTGTTGATGTTACGTTTGTCGACCTCCGATCAAGTAATGGATCTTTTATTGAAGGATAGTAAAGAGGAAAAACATTACAAAACAAAAAAAAAAAAATGAAGAGGAGAAAATTATCATCTGAAATGAAGCTGATCCTACATTACGAACTGCATAAGGACAACGCATTAAAAGTGCAAATTTCAAGTTAATGTTAATAAGCTTGAGAGATGGAATTAGAGTAGCCAAAGAGAGGAAGCCAAAATTATTATTCTTTAATAAGTTAATATATCTTAAACTATCAAATTATACAGGTGATGAAACCGCAAAATGACACGAGAAAGCATTAAATGAAAATATTTTAGTGGAAAAATTATAACTTAAAATTATCAGAAAGCTGACTTCTACTAAAACTGAGTGTGCTGAAGTTCGCCTTCTTCAAAAGTGTAACAACTTGTCATTCACTGGAAACCTACTCATCAGTAAATTTAATAAATCTAAGAATGACAAGATGACAACTCGGAATCGTTTCAATGTACATCAGTAATTGTAAAAAGAGCACCGTCAGCTGAATAAATTCAAAACTATTTATGTGTTAACGTGAAATAAAAATAAAACTTAAAAACAAAACCAAAACTGAATGTCAATAATTGAATGTTATAAAGATTCTTCCAAAAGAAAAGATTAGATCAACAGAAATAAAACTGGATTCTTTTAAAATTTAACTTGGGTGGTATATTTTATCTAATACTTTTAGTGCTAAACACTGAAAGGACTTTGTCAGTCATTACAGTCCCCAAATGACATCCATGAATCTTTGAAGGATGTTACGGCCAAATATTAAGGAAGAAAAAAAGAACATATATAATTCATCAATGGAAAAACACGAATAAACGTGCCCGCAATAAGACGTTGTGTCAAAAAGATAGTGTTTAATATTTTTGTTGTAAATTCTCCAGAATAAAAAAAAAATGTATAAATTCACTTTCATCTGCTGTTTAGGTTTTATTCCAATTTTAATCATCTCTTTTTGAAACAATAAACATTGCCGAAGAGTGAAGGTAGTTAAAAAAAGCGGTTTTATGGGAGAAACCGTCTTTTAGACACTCCGTCTTATAGCGTGCACGTTCATTCATGTTTGCAATTCTTTTTTTTAGAAATGTTGCGTTACAATAAACTCAATAGACAAGAGAACTGTACTAAGATTTGCTGCAAACAATAAGCAATCGGCTGATGTAAAACTTAGAATTAAAAAGAACATAAACACGATTTGGAAGAAAGATTCCAGAGATGGTGAAAAAAATTGTAGGAAAATATTCGTTTTGATGCTGGCAACCCTATCACACATTTACCTGAAAGAAAAGTTATGTTGTATCGACTTAAAATATTTAAGTTGTTTGGCCACTCAAATAGGAAGGCCAATAGATCAGATTAAATAAAGAAAACATTAAAGGAAAGACAATGCGTGAAGAACTGTCCAGAATCGCGGCGTACCAAAAACCGGAACGCGGGAAAGCATTGTTATCCACTTCAGCACCTTCTGCTTTCGTCTGAGTGTCTTTGCGATTCATGACTGTCTGTCAAAGAGAAAAAAAGTGGAATAAAAATTAAGTATTTAAATGAATAAGTCATTTGCTTTTAAATCGTTTTAATCAAACGTTACTTCATTAGGAAGAATAGTTGGAGAAGATGGAACTGTATGTATTATATATATGTGCTTGTCATTATCGTTTGACTTTTCACCGTAACAATGAAGATCGTCATTTTACTGCCGTGCGTAATCAACACGGATTGGGAATAAACTCTTTTCAAAGTGCCAGATAACATTATTCCCTGTGCTTTTTAATGCAGGGTTCATATTTACAACACCGCAACTATAGGCATCCAGTGAAGATCGAATCCAGAATCAGATCAGTCAGAATGAACCGTATCCATTACCCCAAACTTAAGCACTCTTCTTTATATATATAGCCACAATTTTGTACAATGGAAAATAAATATCCTCCTTTATATGTATGGTTGCTAGAGTAATAGATGCTGTTAGAAATAAAATTTATTAATGGAAAATATATTTAATTTTGTGAAACCTTTCAGTTGTATCGAATTTCCACCAGTTTGTGGGTTCTGTTTCTTCTTTTTAATGACAAAAAGCAATCTAATCTATTATCTTTTTCTTTAAGTCAAACATTAACATCAATGATGCGCATTTTATAAATAAAATTTCATAGACTAGAGAAAAGAAAGAAACAAAGAAACATTTATTATTCCTTAGAAATAATGAAAATAATTCAGTGATAATTTGTTTTTTATATAAATCTGAAAAATACTTCGAACTTGAGAATACCGTACATTTTTATATGTGTAAAATAATTTAGAAATTTACTGTCGTTGACAATATCACAAGTTGCATTAAAATCAAACGCAAACTTTATAAACTTCGGTAAAATGTGAAACTGAAAATAAAAGTCAAATGAAAGTACAAATTAAAGCAAAATTTGTAAGACTGTACAGTTAAAATTTTTGAAGATTTAATATTAGAGACACATGTTTCAAAACTATGATACTTTCAACAAAACATTAGAAAGTAAAGTAGCCAATTACAGCCTTGTACATAAAAATGCATAGGTCTCAGGAAATATTAAGGAGATAGTTCTCTTTTTTTTTCTCTTTTTACGAAGAACCAAACCCGGTATTATGTTGTCGCCAGTTTTCATACATTAAATACAGTTCTTGTTAAACGAGGGGCAATTTACCAACTACCCAGCAAAAACTTCTTATAGATGCTGCGCTGGTCCTCACTTACGCAAGTATTCTTACATCTATGTCCTTCAGATATTCTTCCTTTACATTTTATTTTAGCAAAATTTACAAAATATCCAACATATTTCTTATGATTATTTACATTAATTACATTCGGACCATTGTCTTATCCATTGGTATATCACATTAGGCCCGTACCGATTCGATAATTTCTGGGATGAGGTGTTATTTTTGTGATATGCATATTTTAAATATGAAACATATATCAAATTTTACTACTGACAAGTAGATTTTTTTAAAATTCAGCATTATCTGAAGTTTAAGTTTCATCAATATTCACCATTACTAATTTTTGAATATTTGAAATGTTTTAATAATTCACAGTATTTCAGCTAATAATGAAAAAAAAATCAAGATAATATTACTAATACTACTACTAGCGTATGTAAACAAACATTGAAGATGCCGGGCTTTCGGAGAAAACAAAGAATAAATATATATGGTTACATTTGATCCTCTATAACTTTTGGCTTTTGTAGCTGAAGACCTAAAACAACTTCTGCATTGTTTACTAACGGCTCTAGATTGACGGTCCGATTGCAAGATAATGCAACTGAAATTAAAATGAAAGTAATATTAGTTGAAAATTAATTGTTTACTTTCTTTATTTGCAATAATAATGTTTATTTTCGTCCTACGATTATTTTCATTCTACGATTTATGCTGAAATTATTCTCATGGATAACGGGTAAGTAATGGCCCAACCCTTCTATTTATTTAGTTTTTAATTATGACCAGTACTTTAAGTTAAATTCTACATTTATAAAATAAAATATCTTTCATAATTTCTTTGTGAATTATTCCTCTCTGCATACCTCTGTTTTCCTGGTGCTGTGGCCATGTTCGGCATCACCTTGGCAGTGAAGATTTTGAAAGAAAAATACACTCATGGATTCTTTTCGGCTGAGCACGTTTGCAATTGCGAATTCAATTAACGCAGCAAATACAAAGAGCAGGCAAGTAGCCATCCAAATGTCGATGGCTTTAGTGTAGGATACCCGGGGCAGCGAAGCATTGACTGATGAAATTTGTGTGGTCATAGTGAGTACGGTGAGAACACCGAGGGAAATACGTCCCGGCACTGATCCGACGTTTAACCAAAAGGACAACCATGAAAGTACCACGATCAGAATGGTGGGGATGTACATCTGGACGACATAGTAACCAATACTCCGCGTCAGATGAAAATTGGCCTGGAGGCAACTGTGATTGCCTGAAAGAGAAAAATATAACTCTGTCACATCGGGCAATGTAACTTCAAATACATGGATTGTTTACAGTAGCTTTGACAAAATAAAATCACTTTAAAATAAAAGTTCCAGGCTAGAATTGGAAGTCGGCTTCCCGATTTCCAATTCTGAGCCATTATTTATTACATCACCCGCACATTCAAGCTTACAGCGCCTAGTATTCCCAAGCGGTCACCCACCTAAGTACCGACAAGACTCGACGTTGCCTAACTTTGGTGATCGTATGAGAACGAGTATTTGAATGTGATATACGTAAGATGTCCTATCAGGATTCATTATTGGTAGTCATAATTTTAACAACATAAGATATGCAGATGACTGATATCAGACACAGAAAGGAAACTACAAAAGATCCTGCAAAAAGTAATAAAGGAAAGCGAGAAGAAAGGACTAAACATAATCTGCAAGAAGACAGAATGCATAGTTGTTAGCAAAAGGAGGAGGATAAACCCAAAATGTAAATTACAAATCGGAGATACCAGAATCAAACAAGCACAAAAATTTAAATATTGGGAAGTGTTCTAAAAGAGGACGGAAAGTGCGACACTTAAATCTCAAGAGGCATTTGGATAGCCAAAGAGGCATTACAAACGCTAAGCAGACCATTAAGAGATAGAAAAAAACTTTATTAGAAAAAAAGAAAAGAATACTGAACGGTTACGTGATATCTCTCCTCCATATATATATATATATATATATATATATATATATATATATATATATATATATATATATATATATGGCAGTGAATGCTGGACAATTTCTTTAAAGATGAAGAAGAAACTTGAAGCAACAGAAATCTGTGTCTGCAGAAGGATGCTGAAGATACCATGGACCGAACATAGGAGCAACAGTGACAGAGGAAGTCAAGTATAACATACTTGATGAGCTTGAGTGAATGGATGGTAGAACAGGGTTTGGGAGACATAACGAAAAGACAATTTATTAACATGCAAAGGACAGGAAATTGTAGAGAGCGATGATCGCCTACGTTCTGAGAAGAAACGGTACATAAAGCTGACAGACACTAAAAGAAGGCCAGAAGTTACAACAACCGAAACTGTGAGTATAACAAGCAAGATAAGCGTACTAATCTGAATAGAAAGGTATATAATACCAGTAAAATTATAACCATTACTAATTCTACATTATTACTACGACTGCATTTTAACTGTAGCAATAATAAAATAATAAACAAATGAATAAATTTTAGATTATAAACATTTTATGATGTTATTCTTTATTTAGCTATCTTTAAAACATTTATTTTTTTACTAAAACTGCAAATGCTTCCTTTGTTTTTTCTATTGTTGCGAACAATTTTTCATTCTTGATCTTTATTAATGATAGAAGAAGAGTTAGTACCAATTGCAGGAAAGCAAAATAGAGCAACTCAACAGACTTAAACAGAGTAAATCGCATGACGCACATTTTTCTTTTTCTTATCACTCTATATTAAATATATTTTAACTAAAGTGCTGTTTTGTTTAAGATTTTCAGTTTTCAGTCTCTTGCTCTGTGACAGCGACGAATTTCTCAGATATGAACGCTTCACTTTATTTGGGGGTTTAGCATTTTATTGAATTTTCTAAGGCATGTTCACTTGTTTTTTGCAAAAATATCATGAAAAACAATAATTTACATTCTTTTAGATCAAGATGCCATTTTATAGTTTCCGTGCATGATGTTGGGTAAATCATCCTGTTCTACTTTTGTCTCTTTCATTTGTGTAATACGATTAACGAGGAATGACGTTCGTAGTTATGCACAACAAACCTTTATTTGTCTTGAACATTAATATTTTACCCTTTATGTCTTTGACACCACCGGAGCCAGTGACACACGAAGAATAAAACTTACAACATTTGTATTTCTTCCACTCTCCACGTAACGATGCAAATATTGTAGCAAGAATACCAAAATAAACATGATATTATGTTTCATTTATTTACACTAACGTGCTAAAAGTCATGGTATAAGTGCATCTTATCATCTATGACTCCGAAGAAATGCAACTCGATATAGCAGCGATTCTACAAAGTGTTCAGACGGCCTTGGGTGAGATCTTGAGACATGTTATCTTAACTGTTCACAATTTCCTGATATTTGTAGATGCATGTTTTTGCGCGAGAACTGACTTCTCCATCACGTTCTATAAATGCTCAATTGGGATCATGCTGGACAAATGTGTGGTAGCCACACTATTAGTCGGAAGTCTCCTCCTGACCATTTCTGGGTAACTTGGGCAATCGATGGGCATAATGAATAATTCTGTAAGATAACTCATCTTTGTTGCAAATGGTCACGAAACAGTGCAATATAGTGTTCAATGATTTGTTTAGGGGGACGCACCCAACACAATTATGAAACAACCACTAACCTGTACGGTACCTTATTAACAACCGGGCTCCATGGACTACTACTGGCTTGCTGCTCTACTGACTGTAGTTTGTTACTAAAAACAATTCCTGTTATAAGCTTCTGGTCATAACCATTAAGGATTCATGGTCGGCTCCTGTGCGGTCCATCAGGTATTCCTGGTACACACGTGATCGAAGGATGTCAAATATGGCCACAATCTCAGAAACTCTGATAATCCATGTCACCTTGCCATGTGCTTGTGTTTACACTAAATTACCAGAATCTAAAGCACAGCTGATATAGGGCAAATTATTTCTATGACGTCATGGTATAATGGCGACACCTTCCATTACCTTTACATGCTGCTACCCATGGTCTGGTACGTATGGTATTTATTTATTAATTGAAACAGACCATTAATATTTTTATAAAGATTAAACAAATAAATAAAATAGTATAGAATTTATTAAAAATTCAAAATGCTACTTATATTTATATTTTATTTCTATTTTGATGAACGGATTTTCAATATCAAATGATTTCAGAAACGGTGAAATAACCAGGTTTCGAAATAAACTAGAAATAAAGCGAATTCAATAGGAAAGTAAAAACTCTGTTCGATTCTAATCGAACTGGAGCAAGTTTGAGCCAAATGCAGATGCTTGTTGAGCAATCAAGACTTTCTCATTCCAAACGCTGTTTACCTAATTTTCAAAATATTTTACTTGTTAAAATAAAAATTCAAAGTCTTTAGTAATATTTTCCCACTCCATACCCTAAATGTAAAGGTCTTAACACTTACCTTCTTGTCTTACAAAGTTTTCGCATTCAGACTGTGTAACCCTTTCCATGAGGAATTGTGTATCTGCCACATTGCTACTAATCTGGACACTTTTCTCCTTGAACCACTTGAGCAGCAATGTTGAGTTTGTGTAACTAACTGACAAGAGCAACGGAGAAAGTTTATTTGTTATCTGTTTGGTCTCATTTCAGACATGAAAGATCAAAAGTTAGTCAGGGACATACCATAACAATTATTGGAATAAGATCTATTTAAAAAAAATATTCACGGAGTCTTTTGATTAAGAATTATAAAGTAGGATACATATATATATATATATATATATATATATATAAAAAAGAGAGAAAGTGTGTATGAAAGTATGGCGGTATATATATATATATATATATATATATATATATATACATATATATTATATAAAATATATAATATCCTATATAAAGATATGTAATAATTATGCTAGATATGTACAATTATACATGTTTATATAGATATATTCACATATGCGTAAGTACACTAATAATTGTAAGATGCTTTTTGCTATCGTCACGAATTCATGCACACACACACACACACACACACACACACACACACACACACACACACACACACACACAAAGACTAAATAATGTACACCATAATAGCTTTTAATTTTTTATTTCCTGATATTACTTGACTGCAAAATTTTATTTTTCTAAATTTTAAATAAGGTTAAAAGTTTGTAAATTTCTTCATGTTATTTGATGTAAATATTTTACTAATAAATTCAAGATAACATACACAGAGAAATGGATTCATTCAAGCTTGAATGAATGTGCACAGAAAAGTATTATGTCCGTTTGTCTACGTTTGCTACAAAGAACACTACAGAAATTTCTAGAGATTATCTCCAAAATTTTTCCAGACTTTTTCGTCAATGTTAAAAATAGATCGATATACCATGTGAAAAAGAGAAGCAACGTGTATGTTGATCCTTTTACACTGTCACAAGAATTATTTATACACGCGGACGTTATGTGTAAAAACGACACGGAATTAGAAGGACGAATAATAGGACAACCAAATTACTTAAATTTTTTCCCCAGGACTCGTAATCTCGAGCCTCTGAGGGAGGATAAAGAGCCAAAAGTCGGCAAGTTCCTCCCCGTTTAAGAAGAATTGGCCCATTGCTAGCCGCTTGGTTTCCAAAGTGACACAAACAAGAAAATTTATTGTCTACTTCTTTCGCTATGTATGTATTCACTCTCTACATTACACATTAGGATTTCATCGCTTAGAAAGACTTTTACTTCAAAGACATACAAAATTTACTGGTTCAGGATTGATAAAAAAACAGGTCAACCATTCCACAAACATCTTTCCTTGTCAGTTCATTTTCATTATTTGTACAATATTTTTGTCATTTGCATTTAACTATAAAACAAAAACAAAACAATACTATAAATAGTCATAACCAGTTTAGAATTACTAATTTAGAAGTCATATACTTCTAAAATATAGGCTGACATTCTTACTATTAATTAAAAATTTTCATGTTAACATAACAAAATAAAAGACATTATCTATTTTTTCTTTTCAATATCTCGAACTAATTCCTATGCACTGTATTTTTCTCGTCGTTCATAATTTTAAAACTAGTATTAATAAAAGAATGGTAAAATTGTCATAATTTGGTTATCAATATTATTATCACTATTCTAATATTAGGATTGACATTAGAAAACAGAATTGAAGTTTGCCAACCACACTGTATTTATACGTAAAATTGTATTTATTACCCCTTCTATTCGCTTTTCTTTTTTCCACTCTTTGAAATATTTGTTACTTAGGAGCATGTTTTTCGGAGTTACCTTAATTAATATTTCAAAACTCTGATATAGTTTCTATATCACTGTATGCACAGAAAAATTCACAGAAAAAAGAGGATAAAACGAACACTAAATTGATTGGTTATTAGCGCTTTTCTGGCTAGCGTTATAATAAAAAAAAGAAAAGACACGATTTACCTAATGGATTGCCAACAATGGCTAGTCTCTCACTGGACATTAAGGCTGCGACCTGTCTAGGACAAAAGGATAACCAATTAAACCAGTTGCAGAGTAGCCTGTTTAGTCTGGCTTTGAATGCCAAATAAATACGTTACGAATGCAAATTGATCCATGAAGTGAATGATGGAATCCAGTTGGAGATGTCGAGAATCATTTTTGCCTAACCCTAACTCTAACCCTAACACTAAGCATAACGGTACCTCCCCCTCAAAAAAAAAAAAAAAATTAATGGTTTGATTTATAGGAAAAGTTGACATTGAGGTGTATTCCTATCGTTTGGCTGTCTTGGGTTTTAAAAGGTGTAAGTGAAAGTCACTGAATTATGCTTTGACCTTATAAAAAGTTCGACTTTTTTATTGTTAGAAAAAAAATAGACTGAAATTTGTTTTGCAAAAGTATAAATAATATACAAGTTTGCTAAATTAATTTATTTTAAAATTAAAAAGCTTTATTATATACCTGATTCTCTGAATATAGTTAATTTAATGATTGCACAACTTCAGTATGAAAAATAATGTTTGCTTTTTAAAGTACCTCTACCAAAAGTACTTTATTTTAAATAAGTGTCTTTAAAACTGTCAACATAGGCAAAATATTAAAGAGAACTTTGTCTTTAAACTGAAATGTTCGTTATTATTATCGAATCGATGTGTCTAATCACTTATATCATCACTTTTTCCAGGCAGTATAATGCTTCTTTCATCGGCTCAAATCGTCAGATTATCTCTGGTAGTTCATACGAGACTTAAGGAATCCCTTCCGTATGTGTTCCACCAGAGACCGACATTTCTCGGCCGTAGCTGACACGGCCACGATCCTGTCCCACTGATTGCCCTTAACTTTGGGTCTTGTTAGAAGGTGGAATTAAATGATGCCTTTATAGCACTTTTGATCATCCGTGCTGATTCTTTATTAGTTGTACCATTTTGTCTTGGCGCTGCAGATTACTTGATGTGCAGTCTGTTGCGGTATTGAGTTTGCCGGGGAGGTGTTTCATACGGAATTTGTACATTAATCAACGTTACTTGAGGCTGAATATTCGTGTTTTTTTTATGTCCTCCAGAACCTTGCCCGAGAAAATTTTAGGGGCTTGTGATCCATATGTTATTAGCAGCTCCGGACATTCCAACACGAACATTTGACACGACTCTAATCCGTATACTAGCGCCAGTGCTTCCCCCCTCCGCCGGTGTGAATTAGCTTCCAGTGGTCTTCACCGCAAATCGGTACCGCTTTTATGGCACAGTTACAGTGCTTCTGGAATAGAAAATAATCTACCCTTGTTTTGCTAAAGTCTGTTGACAGACACGTCGGCCTATTGACTTCGAATGTCTTCACACCGTGCTCGATTTCTCTTGAAATCCTTTGTTTTGACCCGTTGAATATTTGGTCAAATGTATTGTTCCACTAGAACTTTTGGCCCTTTGTTCGTAGCAATTCTCGGAAATGAGCCATTATCTCGGCTTGGGAGAATGTATATATGAGAATTGTTGTTGGTGGTGTTTTTGGATGTAAGGAACTGTAGGATTGCTTTTGTCATCCTTAGTAGTTTTTATCCCGTATTATTACACGGAACTCGGCGAAATCTACCTTCTTTTCTGCAAAGTGAAATTTGGCATGAAGGTGAGTCATGGCTGAGATCCCCTACGTGCCCTTTGGTGATGAGAACATGAAATCCCTGTTTTGTCGTGCTCATCGTCGATCTGTTGGCAGACCCGTTTTTGGTCTCTGGCACACCCACTCCATATGCCCGATTAATCCACAATTAAAACATGTCAACTTGGCCGCCAGGCAGTCCTTCTGATCCATTGGTCTATTGGGATGTGAAGCCTTCCACACCCTCTGCAGGGCTCGGCTTATTGTGGGATCGGGGAGGTCTTGACTTTCTGGGACTGTCGTTCACAGTCTGGCCTTTGTACATTGTCTAAGGTAATGGGGTGTATAGTGATGTGGTCAACTTGTCCGTCGTTTCTAGGCTGACTAAACTGTCGAATTTGCTCCAGAGTGGTGAGTTTAGCGGCTTCCGTCAATATTTTGCTCTGGTGTTCGATATTAGCAAGCCCTGCCAAAATTTGTCCTGTTACCATGTCGCCGGAATAATTCAATTGCCAACCGCAGTTTGTTGTGTTTGTGCAAGTGACTATAAACAGGGCTCATAACCGAGTTAAAAATCTTTTCTGCCTCATTGAGTTAAATTTCTCGCCTGTGCACTTCCTTGTGCACCCCTCCCTCGACAGCGATGAGCTGTATTTGCCGTAACAGCTATTCTTCTGTGACAGAGTTGGGTGTCTCGGCCCCAGTAGGTTGAATAGCAGCTTGTTCACCTATGGGGTACGTGCCGTCCTCAGCTCGTTCCGGATAACTGATGGGTCATCTCTTTCTAACGGACCCATGTGTCAATAAACATTGCTCAGTCGCCGTCTGTTGCATCCGGTTCTATCGTAGGGTGTTCCAGTTTTCTGACATGTGACATGTTTGGCTGGCCACAAAGTCCTTCCTTTCGTAGTGCGATGTTTTCCTTTTGTAGTTCAACCAGTTGTTGCATAAGCTGAAAATATTATTGGTCCATAGCTGGTTTCGTCGTCATGTTTCAAAGACGTCAATTTGAGCGTTGGTATTTTTTGTAGTTCTAGAAAAACTTCTATCGGCGACGCCATGTAGAGTGCTTGAGTGACGGTTGCAATCTGTCCACGCCTCCAGGCTTTCCGCGAGCCTTGTTTATATTTGTGTTTTGCACATGCGTGCCACGTCTTGCATGTGACCGGGTTACTCCAGTTCATGAATAGATTACCGATGTAGTCTTTACGGACGTCCCTCTGTATGATACATCCGCCTTTTCTACTTTACAATAACCAATACTTTACAAATACAATTTTTTATTCTATATACTTTTATGAAACTTAGTAGAATTGTCAGAGGCAATAAATCAAAATTATTTTCTCTTTTGTACATCCATACAAAAATAATCTAATAGTTCACACTCGAAAATTTAATTAATAAACTTTACATTGTTCGGTTCTTTAAACATGCCCTTATTTAATAAATTAAATAACGTGTTCATGCAAGCAACAACTCTAAAAATACTTTTTT